ATATATATGTATACATAATTAAATATATATGGCCTATATATAAATTATGATATAATGGATAAAATCCAAACTAGCTTTATATATAAAAATAATAAGAAGAAACGAATACCATACTTTATTGGAGAAGAACTTCAATCTATCGAACGTTTTGATTGGAGCAATGGTTTTATTATATTTTTATGATGTTTACAATTCTTAATGTGACTTCAATTTATTTATTTTTTTTAATAGGGCCTAGTTATTTTTTAAGTAGTTTTATATAGTGTGTAGGCCTATATATAAAATGAAAAAGAGGGCCGAGTTAACCTGCCGGGCCGAGTTGACTGGGGCCTAGTTGACTCGAAAGCTTTGTATTTAGCGAGCGGTATTGTATTATTAATTTGAATGCGTCATCGGCGTTCAATACATATACACGCATTGGCGGCCGTTCTGGAGGGTGGCCGCTATAGGTAGCGGCCGGTAGGGCCTACTCCCCTCCATCCAGCCTGGGTGATGTAGTCACACATTTCAAATCTCTCAGGTTGGTAACTATGCATATTGAGCAGTAGGCTATAGGCCTAGGGCCTAAAGCTTATCAACCAACCGTCCCAAAAATATCAATAAAGCAAATAAGCAGAATTGGCAAAAAGTCTAGCCTATCTATACTACTACTAGAGTCTAGACTACAAGTTATACTACTGTAGAAGGCCTAGGCCTACTTAGGGTAGCGTGGCCTAGTTAGTAAAATAAATTGTTCTTTCTTTGCTTTGATCTCTTTGCTTTGCTGTCCAGGCTTTGTTTTTAGCGGTAAAATATACTATAATACACACCCTACCCTACTGACTATACGGAGGCCTACCCTAGCTAGGCCCACGCCGGTCTCTCTCCTTCCTTACTTACCCGCCCACTTTCCGAGCTTGGCTAAATTTGCATTTAGGCCTAAAGTACGACTAACGTAGTACGCTTTTAGCCCACGAAGAACTGATGAAACTATCTTGAAAGTAAGATAGCATATAGTAGCTGCTCCGACAGCTGCAAATATTCTATTATACTCCCCGAAAATTTTACTGGTGATTTCAGTACCCATTTTCCTTGCTAAACATGTGCCGTTGCAACGCGACGACAAAAATAGGTAGGTCACAAGTCCTCTTTATCATTCTAGACAGCGCCACCAACTAGAGAACGGTAATCCGGAAAAACAAAAATCGAGTATGGCACGCCAATTATATTAGGTATGGCGCGCAATAGACGCAATAAAGAGTGAGTAACCCAAACTTAGGGCAGAAACCCAGGCTACACGACGAGCTACATGTGCTAAGTACCACAGGAACGGAAGTAAAGAAGTTGCTGATATGACCTTGTTTTTTTAGCATCTCAGGGGGCGCCATATATACCAGTAGAATAATGGACTGCACTGTCATTATTAATCGCCCTGGCTGGAGATACGGTACCGTATCATCTTACATTTGCTAAAGGTTCCGTAAATTGCATTATCCAATAGATTGCCGCCACAAGCATGTCAAAACTCGCTCGCTGTGAGCCTGCTTTCCTACCGAGTTGTTATATAAAAGTGACGTTAGACAACTTCAAAATTACTGAGCAAGCACAACACAAGTCCATAATTGAGCAACTCAACAAAAATAATTACCTCTAAAGTGTCCCCTTAATAGGGGTTCCCATTGATTAGGGTTTGGGTATAGTGCTAAACGATATACATTCTTGGTTTTGTGGCCGGCCGAAAATGTGTCCCTTCTAATAGGAAGGATACTGTAGTTTCAACATTAGACTTTAAGTATATGCAGCCAAAATAGGCCTCAATTTGTAAAGATATGTGCGATGTTAACACTGAAATACAAATTCATTCCTATTTCAGTGGCTTCAGGAAATTTCCGGCCAGGGGTTCAGGGATTTTCCGGCCATCTAGAAGTGTCACAATCATAAATTTTCTTAGTACCAATCAACGGTTGGCCTGATGTTGTCTACACCCCACTAGGCCTATCTATGAAAGTCCCTCTCTGGGACCCCTCTATTTTGAATTCCTTGATCAGGTGCCACCTGTATTTCCATAGTTTATTCTTATATGTCATTCATGTCATTATTTGAAGTTAAAGTAGCTAGAATAGAATAGAAATGCATTTGCCAAGAAGATGCAATTGTTTGTGGGCCTAGGCTATATTACTATAATTATAAGGAGGTGTTCTGATGGACATTTTTTAGGGACCTATGTATTATACACTTTACAATTATTATTATTATTATTATTATTATTAACATATATTATTAGTATATAGCAAGCAAAAGAAACGTTTTATTTATTTATTTATTGTATAGTCTTCTGTGTACCTATAGTACCTATGTTGACGTTTTTTGTGCATGTTAGGATTGTATATGTTATTGTCATTTTCTTTTTATGACCCTAATGTGCTCATCTGTGTTTGGATTTTTTTCTATTTGTAGCAAACTTTACATTGTTGCCACAGTAAATCATCGAATATAGCTTGCTATCAATTTATCATGTCCCAATGTCTAGTTGTGGGAATGGTCAACAAACAATTATTTAACATTAATTTGGTAGTTAATTCCAGTAAACAATGTATTCACAAATAACTTTAGAAGGCTGTTTAATTGCAATAATGTTTATCTACTTATCTACTTTTAAATTTTGATTTTTAATTGTGTATAGACTGTCTCTTATACACATCTAGTGTTGATAGGCGGCCCAGTGTAAAACAGGGCACACATCTGGTTACCCTCCAAAAACAACAGTTATTAGTCAGGAAATAACAATCATTATTAGGAAAAGTTAACTGTAAAGTATTAATTTTTTTCCTAGAAAAATTTTAATAACTTAATACATGAAAATATTGTAACAATTGTGATTTATTAGTCAGTCAATTATGGGTACTCAGTGCTACAATATTTTTTTGTAATTACATCATATGCTTTATAATTATTTGGGTGATTCCATAGTAACCGACGTTACAATTCATGTATATACACATCTCATGTCCAAGAGTTAGACAACACATGAGGGAAGGAAAAATAGGCTATAGTTAGGGTGAAAAACCCAGTTTTTGGCCAAAGTGGCAAACAATTATTTACAATGATTTTTTGAGTAGAAACTATCTAAAAGGGTTTCAAGAGCCACCAAAAAAAAAGTTGGAACAATTTTGCCCATGGGAAAAAGAGTTATGACCTTTTATATAAAGGTCAATCTATTTTTAGTAACAAACACTGAAACAGTAAGGGTAGTCGGTTCTATCCCACATATGACCCAAAAAACAATTGCAAGAAAACTTTTGTTGGGATGTTTTCTGTAGCATAAGGTCTAGAAAAGATGAATATATATATTTTAGCCAAAAATTGCACAAGCATCAAGTGATTTTTCCAAAATGGCGCCAAAAACTTTAAAATAGCCATAAATTAAGTTCTTTTTGTCTCGGAGTGGTTTTTTTTTTTCTTAACTGAAACCAAAATTCATCTGATAATGATTAAATAATAATTTTTAAAAATTGAATAGTTCCAAAAGTCATCCAAAATGGCTGCTATATTCATTTTTCATATCCGTAACCCATTAATTAGTAGTCCTATAGTGGTGATTGCAGTGTCTACATTTTCTGGGTCATAGTATTTATCAATATCATTTAAAATATGATTTAATAAGAGCTTAAGTAAAATATAAATAAATATCAAATTTGGAATGGTC